TTTGGGAGATAGAAATGGGTTTAGTAGTGATGTTAGGGTAGTGGTTAAGAGCCTTTTGTAGCTGTGGCAGAGTAGGTTTTTCACAAGGTTTTCTTTAGTAAAGATTTTGGTGCCCCTATAAAAAATGGCCTCTTCCTCTATCGATTTTTAGCTATCTTTTTAAAAAATTTCATTTTGATTTTGGAGCCAATTTCTTAGATAGAAAGAAGATGGAAGGATAGAGTAGCCTGACAATGTTAAGGTGGCTTTGCAGGTGTTCTTGATTGATTCGTATCAAGTTTCAAGCTGCAGAGATTTAGGATCTATTTGGATGGGCAGTGAGATTGTTTTCGGTGAGATTAAAAATAGTGATAGAGGTGAGATTAGTTATTATAGCGATGAGATTTAGTACTATGGCTGTGAGATTAAAATCAGTAGTGAGATATATGTTTGGATACAAACGCGGTAATAACGGTGAGATTAAGTATAGTGCAATAATAAAATGATCATTAAAGACAGATTAAAATTTATATGTAATAAAAAATTTTAAATTATTTAGTATTTATCAAAATAATAAATAATAAATAATTAAAAATTATTAAATTATTTTTATATAAATAATAAATAATGAGAGACTTGATAAACATAAATAATTTAAAAATAATTAAGTAAAAATAAAAATAAATTAACAAATTTAAAAAGTTAACAATATAAATTTATTTATCATTTAAATAATTAAAAAAAATAATAACATGAAAAATAAAGAAAAACATGAAGAGAAAATGGGACAAAAACGTAAAAAGGAGCGGTGTAGTTGCTCGCTGCACTTTTTTGCTCTAGTCAAAAATTGATGCTCAAGTGCAGTTAAAAACTGCATCGCATGCTATCCAAACAACATTGAATGGTGCGATTGCCTAAAAAAAAAGTATAATCATGCCGCACTAATGCTTCAGTGAGATCCAAACGAACCCTTAGCCTTTCTAATTTTAGTTTAGGCAAGCTTTTTTAAAGGGATGGGGGTGGTTGACATAACCGAAAGGGATTGAGGCACTGATTTAGGAGGAGAAAATTGTAGGAAAAGGTCGGTAACAAGAAATCAGCAGCCTAGCTACCTTTTTTCGGTGGTTGTTGTGCACGACAATACCACCGCCATTTTGCATTATTAATTTTATTTCCAAATCTTTCTTTTTTTTGTAATTTTTTAATTAGGCTCAATCATTCAAACCCAAGGAATGGACCAAGCTCAATCTTTAACATGATTCAAATCCAATTTAAAGGAATCAAACCCACATGACCAATTGGGCCTTCGAACAATTACAATCGATTAAGATTTTAAAGCCTGGTTAAGAAAATCAAACTTAATTAACGAGTTCCGCCTAATTGATGGGTTGGATCAAAAGCTGTGATTAAAATGAAAATTGCTCGACGAATAAAAGACCCAAGTTTGGGATACTTCAATAGTTTAAACAAAATTAGAGGTCTACCGTGAATAGATGTTTATGAAAAATTGAGAAAAAAATATAAACAATTCACTACTTCAACAGATTTTGTTTGCCGACGGAAGTTTGATATCCAACAGTGGCCAAGAGAACAGCAGTCCCATCGTGGCTGTTGAATAGGATAATAACTTAAGGCATCAAGTTTATTAATTGGAAAATGCCACATATCCCTCAATCTTTTCTTTGTCTCTAAAGTGGGGTCGTGATTGGATGAATTAATTAAAAGCTTAATTATTTATGCATTCGTCGCATCAGTCGATATACATTATTAATTAATCCAGTAATCAGCTACCTATATATATATATATATTAAAATATCAGAATTATGTGTTAAAAAAATCATAATCATAAAAAATATTACAGTTAATGCATTTTTTAAACAATTTAAAAAAAAATTTTGTGATATTTTTTAATTTAAAACTCCAATTTAATGGGGTATCTATAAGATTTTTTACACTAAATTGTTTATAGTATAGCATGTAATTATATTAATCCAAGGCAAATTAGAATAAAGATAATTATGATCTTAATTTTATTTATTTATTATATATATGAAGAAGCCTAGGAGGGGGAGGAAATTGATCATGAAAATCTTAGACATGGCCCTTGTGATAAGAAAAGGACTAATTAGTATTCAAGTGTGAATTTTTTATTAATTTATTTATCTGAAAAAAATTTATGAAAGCATTTAGATTAATTGCATTTATTAAACGGGTTGAAAAATTGGTCTCATGAAACAAGTACAAATATCCATATGATTTTACTTTCTTTGTTTATGTTGTGAACATAACTGTTAGAAATATTCTGCCAACATATGTGCTGCTTCATTGGCATCTCTCTTTTACATGTGCGATTTTGCAACCCTAGAAAACTTCATTCTCATCCTTGCTTCCTCCATTAGATTGGCAATTTCAGTTTGTTGAGAATGCCCTGTGCATTTATTACCTTCAAGGAACACATGTGAAAAAGCTAATGTCAGTAGCAAATTCAATTGCTTTCACTGATGCTAATGCTTCTACCACGGTCGGTTCCAGAACTCTTATCTATCATATTTGACAGAAGATTTTCAGCCTAAATCATTCATCCGGATGGATAAAAAAAAGAAACCTTTAAATGTTTTTCTTTCGAGAAAAACCATTAATTTTGAGTTTTAAATATTATTTAAAATTAATTACATTAAAGATAATTATCACATTATATATAAATTAAAATATTTATATTTTAGATACTATATTAAAAAATTTTTAAATTTAAATATCATATTAAATATTTTATTATAATTCAAAAAATATTTTAAACATTAACCCATCCCAAAAACTTTGCACGCAGACCCAGAAACGGATCCAAATGACAAAGCGGGGTATCCGTAAACACCCGGCAAAATTGGGAAATAAATTTCCTTGGATATCTTAAAAAATTTTGCATAAACCTCTTTTCTGTCAATAAAATTAATAGATCAATCAATAATTATATATATATATATATATATATAAACACCTTCAAAATAAAAATTCTATATCTGTTATTGTATACACCTCTCCCTGCCTTAAGAAAGAGCCAAAAAGTATAGCTGTTACAAACTTTTTTTAAATAAATCTAATAATTTAAAACATATACTATATGAATATGATATGAATATAAAATATAAAAATAATATAATTTAAAATTTTAATAATAATTATATCTAAATTTAATAAGATTAACAAAATATTTTATATTTTTATATTTACATAAATTATAATATATGATTTATATATAAAATATAATATAAATATATAAATTTTAATATTTTATATGATACAAATATATAAATATAAAAAATTAACTTTTGAGGATACAAAACGAGAGCTGAAGGCCATATTATGTAACAAGAAAGAACGCATAGTCTGGTAATAACACGGCAAAGATGGGCTAGCTTGGTGTACTTCTCATATCACTTCTGGGCTGTTAGCGCAGGCAGCAGCTTCACGAGAACTAGGAACTTAATCATGCGTTATTTTTTAATTTTAACAAAAATTGTCTTAATTTTAATATTTAAAATTAATTTCATTATCTTTTTTTTTCATAATTTTTTTTTTCATTTTTCTTCATAAATTTTTAAAAATATTATTTTATTTTTATTCAAAAAATAAATTAAAATCTTATTATTAAAAATTTTTAAAAATTTTTTAATACATTAATAACATTATAATAAATTTTTTCACTTAAAAATTTTTTAAAAAATATTACTTAAATTTTCTTACAATCTCATTTTTGAAGACTCGTATCTTTAAGTAATTAATGCAAGTAATATTCATGTAATTTAAAAAATTTTTTTTTTCTTTTATTTTTTTCAATCTTTTTAATTTAAAAAAATAAAATTTTTTTTATTAAAAATTATTTTAAATACTCTAAAACTTTAGTAATATTTTAAAAAAATACTCTTATTTAAAAAATTTTAAAGAATTATTATTTAAATTTTCTTGATATCTCATTTTTAGAGGATTTTCATTTTTATTTTACAAATATTTTTTTTAACACTTCTCTTTCATTTTTCTAAATATATATTTATTTAAAAATTTAAAATTTACATATACGTAAATGAACAAATAAATAACTTAACAAAAACATATTAAAAAAAAAACCCAAAAAAGATAGATCAAAACTGGTCAACGTTCGAGAAGTGATTCAGGTACCATGCAGTAGTGATTCGGCAGGCTTGGAGTAGTTCACGAGTGGTTCAGCCAGTTCAACAGTAGTTCGATTGGATCAATCCAGGCTGAGCCAGCAGTAGTTGGTGCCAGGTTAGACGCGCGAACCCCGAGATTAATCAAATACACGTATAAGTCTTCTTTCTTTTTTTTTTTTTCCTATAAAAGACAGGTTTTTATTTTATTTCAGTTCAAACATTTCCTTCTAAAAAACCTTCAAACACTCTCAAAAGCCAAGAGCGTCGGCTAGCTTTGTTTTCAGAATCCTACCATCGACCGCCGTGTTGGTCGTTGATTGTTGCCACCGGTTCAAGCCTAAAATTTACTTTGTGCATCCTCTTGACCCCCTTTTTCATGTTCTCTAGATAAATTTTCTCAAAAGTCGACCAAATTTCCTAGATCTACTCTTAAAGCCGGTGGCTTCAAAATAAAAAACAACCTCTTTCCGCCACTCTAATGGTCACCGTCTCAAGCTATATCTTTTATCTCATCCTAGCCTCTTTTCTTATCGAAAATCAAGACCTGAAACTCTGCCTAACTCCCTAAAGACTTCCTCTGACTTTCTATGCTTTTTACTTTTTTTTTTTTTATTATTTTGGGGCTGCTTTTCCCCACCAGGGGATGTGGTTTTTTGTTTTCACTGTGTGTGTGGTCTTTTTTTTTTTTCTTTTTCTTTTGAATGGTTCTCGATTGCTGTGGGTGAATGGGTTTTTTGTTTTTTTTAGCTGCTGGGAGGTAAGTGGTCTAGGTTTTTTGGTGTGCGTCTGTTTTGTTCATGGTGGTTTTTGCAATGGGGGTAGTGGAAGCAAGGTGGTAGGTTTGTGTTTGGGCTATGAAATGTGGCGGTTTGGGTGATGGAAATGGGTCTAGTCGTGATGCTAGGGTAGTGGTGAAAAGCTTTTTTGTGGCCGTGGCACGGTGAGTTTTTCACAGGGTTTTCTTTAACAGAGATTCTGGTGCCCCCACAAAAAATGGCCTCTTCTTCCATCAATTTTTAGCTGTCTTTTAAAAAATTTTCATTTTGATTTTGGAGCCAATTTCTTAGGGAGGAGGAAGATGGCAGGATAAAGTAGCCTGACAGTGTTATGGTGGCTTTGCAGGTGTTCTTGATTGAATTGTATCTAGTTTCAAGCTACTTAGAGATTTAGCCTTTCTAATTTTAGTTTAGGCAAGCTTTTTTAAAGGGATGGGGGTGGTTGACATAACCGAAAGGGATTGAGGCACTGATTTTAGGAAAAGAAAATTGTAGGAAGAGGCTGGTAACAAGAAATCAGCAGCTTAGCCACCCTTTTTCTGTGGTTGCTGTGCACGACAATACTACCGCCATTTTGCATTATTAATTTTATTTCCAATTCCTTCCTTTTTTGTTAATTTCTTGGAAATTTTTTTAATTTGGCCCAATCATTCAAACCCAAGGAGTGGATCAGGCTCACTCCTAAACATAGATTCAAAATTATCAAATTTGGTCCAATGTAAAGGAGTCAAATCCAAATGGCCAATTGGGCCGTCGAAGAATTACCTTTGGTTAAGACTTTAAAGGCTGGTTAAGAAAATCAAACTTAATTAACGAGTTACGCCTAATTGATGGATTGGATCAAAAGCTGAGATTAAAATGAAAATTGCACAACGAATAAAAGACCTAAGTTTGGGATAATTCAATAATTTAAACAAAATTAGATGTTTACTGTGAATAGATGATTATAAAAAATTGAGAAAAAAAATATAAACAATTCATTACTTTTAACAGATTTTACCAACAGAAGTTTGGATATCCAAAAGTGGCCAAGAGAACAGCTGTCCTATCATGGCTGTTGAATAGCATATTAACTTAAGCCATCAATTTTATTAATTGGAAAATGCCACGTATTCCTCAATTTTTTCTTTGTCTTTAAAGTGGGGTCGTGATTGGATGAATTAATTAAAAGCTTAATTATTTATGTATTCAACGCTTCAGTAGATATACATTATTAATTAATCCAGTAATCAGCTACCTATATATATATATATATCTTAAAATATCATAATTATGTGTTAAAAAAAAATCCTAATCATAAATAAATATTACAGTTAATGCACTTTTTAAAACAATTTAAAAATATTTTATGTGATAATTTTTGAATTTAAAACTCCAATTTAATGGGGTATCTATAAGATATTTTACACTAAATTATAGTATAGCATGTAATTATATTAGAATAAAGATAATTATGATCTTAATTTTATTTATTTTTTTATATATATGGAAGCCTAGGAGGGGATGAAATTGATCATGAAAATCTAAGACATGGCCCTTATGATAACATGAGAAATAATTAGTGTTGTGTAAATTTTTTATTAATTTATTTAGCTGAAACAAAATGGAAAAAGTATTTAGATTAATTGCATTTGTTAAACGGGTTGAAAAATTAGTCTCATGAAACAAGTACAAAGATCTATATAATTTTGTTTTCTTTGTTTATGTTGTGAACATAACTTTTAGAAATGTTTTGGCAAAATATGTGCCGCGTCATTGGCATCTCTCTTTTACATGTGCAATTTTGCAACCCTAGAAAACTTCGTTCTCATCCTTGCTTCCTCCATTAGACTGGTAATTTCAGTTTGTTGAGAATGCCCAGTGCATCTATTACCTTCAAGGAAAACATGTGAAAAAGCTCATAGTGTGGGTATCAATAAACACTCGGAAAAATTGAAAAATAAATTTCCTTGGATATCTTAAAAAATTTTCTATAAACATATTTTATGTCAATAAGATTAATAGATGTTATTCTATACACCCCTCCCTACTCTAAGAAAGAGCCAAAGAGAAGCTGCTACAAAATTTTTTTTGAATACACATAATAATTTAAAATACGATATGATTATATGACATAAATATGATATGAATATAGAATACAAAAATGACATAATTTAAAATTTTATTAATAATCATATCTAAATTTAATAAGATAAAAAAATGTATTGTTGTAACGGTTTTGAGACCGCTAGACGTAAAGAATTTTAAAATAAAAAAAAAGAGTTGCCACCAATCTTTTTTAATGAGTGATTGGTCACCCAAAAGTTTATCTTTTTAATAAAATGATAAAGCTCGTTTAAAGTTTATCAAAAAGATAAATTTTGATATACGAAAACAGATTTTGAGTTCGGGAGTCGATTACGCATGGAGAATGATTAATACCTCACAACGCCCATAAATTGATACCATTTAATTATGCGTTATTTTTGATGTTGTATAAAAATGATTTCAATTTGAAATTTAATATAAATTCCCTTTTATTTGTTTAAATTAATTTTATCAAAATTATTTATTTAAAAATATCGAGGAAATGTCTAAGTTAAAGAATTATTTTAAAATTCTTCAACATCTAGGCAGAACTTTAAAAATAATTCTTTTGATTGATATTTACCACGATATTTTTTGAAAATGAAAATAACATCCTTTACAGAAGATAATTGTTAGTGACTCTCCAACATCTAGGCGGAATACCAAAAATTATTTTTTTCGAAATGTTATTTTTATTTTATTTTAAAATTACACAATTTTAAAAGTAAGTAAATTAAATAAATGTTTTGTATGAAATAGTAAATGATGATACTATTAGGTAGCAAACAGATATGCAAAATGAGTACAAACAATAACAAATAAATACAATTAAGCTAATAGGTGCTATGTATAATGATGAAATGCAAACTTGAAATTGGATTCTTATATATAATGAGACCACATTAACTCTCCAACATCTAGGCAGAGCTTTGGTGCGACTGTTTATATTTAAGATCCCATCTTTATTACTACTTTTTATTTAATAATCCAATTATTAAAGCGAATTAAGAATTCGTGTGAAAAAACTTAATAAAATAAAGTTTCCTAAATACCCCATCATCTAGGCGGCATTCAGAAACAAATTATTTCAAGCGAGATTTTCACACGTATCTTTAGGATTTTCAGATGGTTTTAAACTTGGGCATGGGTCGAGGTTTTAAAGATTTGGTGAGTTTTGGGCAATATTTGGGATTTTGTACCAAATTTGGGGTTTTCAAAATTTTGGATTTTAGGGTTAGGGTTTCAAGTTTCAGATTTTGGGGTTTAGGGAATTTAAGGTTTTGGTTTTAGGGTTTAAAGGATTTAAGGTTTTGATTTTAGGGTTTTGATGTTTTATGGATTTGATTTTAGGGTTTAGAGGATTTAAGATTTTGTTTTTAGGGTTTAAAGGGTTTGGGATTTAATTTTAGGGTTTGGGGAGTTGGGATTTAATTTTAGGGTTTAGAGGGTTTAGAGTTTTGTTTAAGGTTTGGAGGTTTGGGATTTAGTTTTAGGGTTTGAAGGTTTGGAGTTTTGATTTTAAGGTTTGTAGATTTTAAGGTTTGATTTTAGTGTTTTAATTTTTAGAAATTTGAAATTTAAGGGTTTGAATTTTAGAGTTTTGGATTCTAGGGATTTAGAAATTTAGGTTTTGATTTTAATTTTTTGAATTTTAAAACGCGAACATATATAAAAATCTCTAACATCTAGGCGAATTTTTGGAGCAAGTTCGATTTTTTTTATAATATTTCAAAAATTAATGAAAAAAATCTCTTTTTTTAATGAAAATTTATTATTAAAAAAATCAATTTATTATTATTATTATTAAAATTTTTTTTATATAATTCCCCAACATCTAGACGAAATTATATTTTTTTATTCCCTCCAACATTTAGGTAGAAAAAATAAAAATATTCAATTAGTATTGTTATTTTTTAAATTATTATTATTATTTTTTGGCATTTTTAGTATTTTTTGTAGTTATTATCCTACATTGTTTTCATTTGATTATTAAAAGTAATCAAATAATGGTTCTAATAAATTTTAAAAATTTATCATGCATAAATTAAAAATAATACTCAAAATAACAAAAATAATAATATATAAAAAAATTCAAAATCCAAAAAATTTTTTTTTTTACCTGAATCGGACCGATCAATGATCTGATCAACGGCTAATCTAGTCGGTTCAACTGTTTGGTAGTTCAGACCGGTCCGAACTTGTTCACTGTTGGTTCGATATCGATTCAAATAGACCAATTTTGAGCTGAGGTAGAAGCGGGTTACGGATTGGGTTGCACGGATCCCGGGTAGGATCCAGGTCCACGCGCGGATCTTCTCTTAAGCAAAATGACGTTGTTTTGCTACTTTGGCTTCTATATAAAAGTTAACTTTTTTTTTTGTTTCATTTCATCTTTACTACCAAAAAAAATTTCAAAGCTCTAGGAGAGCTCTATGGGCTCCGCCAGCACGTCCGACTGTCTGCACTCTTGCCTTCGAGCCAGCCACCGCGTCGACCATTGCAGGTGGTTGTCGTCGATCAACGAAAAATACCAAGAAGACTCCCAAACGTTCACCTCAACGCCCTCTTTTTAGATCCAACATCCGTTTTACTAGAAACAGCCCCGATCGACGTAAAGCGAGGCTTAAAGCTTTCAGTCTCCTTTCTCTTTCTTTTTTTTTTTTTAAAAAAAACTAATGATTTCTTTGCTTGTTTATAGGGCTTTCTGGCGTTGAGGTTCCTCCATGTGGGGATGACTATATTTTGTTTATTTTTTTTATGTAGATTTTTTTGGGTTTTTAGTTCTGGTAAGTGGGGATGGAGGAGAGCAATGAAGTGTGTGTGTATATGTGTGTGTGTGTATAGGCTGAAAACTGGGGTAAGGTCAAGCTGGGGGTTAGTTTGGGTGCTGGGGCTTTAGGTATAGGTGCGGAGACCAGGGTCTGAAGGGATTTTTTGGTGGTGGCTATTGGTTTGAGTGCAGGTGCTGAGGGTTTTGGACGTCTGAGTTTTTGTTCGAAGATGTGTATGAGAGGAGTTTGAGGGTTTCTGGTGTGTTTAAAGAATTGGGTTTCTAGGTAATCGTAGCTTGAAAAGGCGTGGATTTTTTTAAAGGTTT